TGCATGATGTTCCTGACACATTAGCCAGCTTTGTTCCTGAACGTCTGAAGCATGGAAATTCAGACCCTCCTGAAACCCAGCAATGGCCCAGGCCCCACTGCACACACAGTCTGTTAAGATGTTTAAAGCTGGGCTGTCCAACAGGGTAACTGCTGCGACTTGTGGCAATTGAGCACTTGAAATATGACTTGGCTGAAAAGAGAAGTGCTATAAATTGTACAAGACTCACCAGTTTTCAAAGAAGTTGAATAACTGAGCAGGAGTTTTTGAATATGGATCACCTATTGAAACGATAATATTTTGGAAGCATTGGCTTAAATAACATATATTGTTCAACTTAATTTCACCACTTTTTCCTACTTTTTTAGAAGTGGCTATTAGAAAATTCAAAATGACAATTGTGGCTTGCATTATATTTCTATTGGAGAGCACTGATTTAAGTATTTTTGCTGCTCTCCTCCCTCTCACAGACTCAGAGACCAGACCATGAAATACCCCTCAAAGTTATTTGGCTTGCGGATCGCAGTGGTGGAGCTTCCCAGAAAATGACTTTTCTTAGGTGGAAATCAGATACTCTAAGAAATAAAGTGCTAAATGACAAACCCCCACCCCAGGTAAGAGTCCAGAGGACCTCCTGATGGGTTGAAAGCACATGGACAGGTCTCTTCCTTACATGAGGTGACAACTTAGAGATCTGTCTGCACAATAGCAAGATGAGCAGAGAATGTCTGTTTCTAAGTTTGTCCCATTTCAAGAAGAGTTTGGCATTGATTACATTCTGTGACCCTCAAAAAGAGCTCTGTGTATGTCCTTGTCAGGACCACAGATAATCCATTCTGCAGACAGGCGGAGATTGTGTTGACGAACTCAGTCCTGTTGGTATAAACACGTGCCTCACCTGTTCCGACCCCTGTCAGAACACTAAAGATGCAAATGAACTCTGAAGGACAGGTCTAGACAATGAAAAAAAAGCATTCTTACAGACTGTCAGTATAACATTAGGATTAGAAATGTTGCTCACATATAGTTTCTCATTGAAGAATTCAGCTCAAGTTTTCATTATAGCCACTGGGGAGAATTAATTGACAAGTCTGAAAATAACAAAGGAAAACGAAACAATGACTGCATGTTTCCCAGTGTAAAATACTCTAGTGAATTTTAAAGTTGCTTTCAGCTGTTTAAGGAAATATATATATATCTATCTCTCCCTTCTCCTTCTAATTTGGAAGATTAAAAAGCCAAAGAAGAAAAAGAGAAGAGAAGGAGAAAGAAGTGCTTTTAAAAAATCTTTCTTGTAGTCCCCGACACTGCAGACCCGTCTCTGGAAGGACGATTTCCCTGGCCAGTGTGAATCGTGCATTACAACGTGGTGCCAGAAGGCACAGAAGCGAGCATCCTTCCACAGAAAGTTCGTTTCCATCATTAAAGCCAGACAAAAGCTGCATGAGCACACTGCATCCCGGACAATTATTCAGCCAGTGAAGTGTCATCGTGCTTTATATTTTTCCATTTCTCAATGATACTACCCAGAGACCAAGCTGAGGAATTCTTCTAACGGCTGGCTGCATTCTGCTCTAAAATATGTTTTCTATATTAGATTTGCCCATCAATTTGCTTCCCAGTGGGATGAATCTTTTTTTTCTTTTTTGTTGAAGAGGAAATACCAGTTATTTATAGCAACTGAAGGAAATAATGAACGGTTGCATGCCACCAAGTAAACAGTTCTATAAACAGTCATTTTCAACAACAGTAGCATGAGATGCTCAGGCAGACTGGGACCCTAAGCTAGGTCAGGTCATCTCGGGAAAACTTATAGGCGATTCTCTCAGTCTTGCCTGCACGAAGGAATTTCAATCAAGAGACCACAAAATGGTGCAATGGGCGATGCCGGTCATTTTAGGTCTTTCTTCAGAGCAATCCTATTGTTGGGTCTCAGCTGTGCCAGGCGCCTTGTCAGACACAACTCCTTTTGCTTGCATTTACACATAGGACTTAAACAGTGGTTTAGAGGATCTCATTTTAAAAACACTATCAAGAATTTAAGACTATTTTATTTAGTCTTTCTATTTTTTCTCTCTTTTCTTGGTTGTGGAGGGTGAGGCATAGAGCACTGAGAAATACTACTACTTAATATGCTATTTGTCATCTTCTAACATGTGACAAAAGGTTGGAAGCTCTTTGTTCCTACAGAACATCAAACACACGTGAGGACTTTTTATAATAAAATTCAGTGACTAGTAAAAATTCATTCCTTGCTTTGTAAAACAAGGACAGGACAGGTCAAAAAATTTTAAAAAATGTATGCCACAATAACCTGTGTAGCTTAGGCCTATTCTGAGGTAAAAAATTTTTTATTTTTAATCTTTAATTTTAAAGATAAAAAAAGAAAATAGTAAGAAGATTAAGATCAAGACAGAAAGGAAAAGAGAAGGAAAATGAGAAGTCTGGACACACACAAAGGGATAGACAGGCATAGACAGAACCAAAGCTTGGTGAAGACAATCCTACCTAGTCACAGCCCTCTGTTCCCAGGGATACTGTGAAATTTCTAGAACTCTAGCACCTTGAATTCATTACTAAATGGCAATTAGACCGTTTTGGGTTTGTTTTTTGCTTTTAAATGTCAAAAGTTTTTAAAAGGCTATTCTCTCATAAAATTCTGAGTTTCACAGAATTTTAAAAGTTAGAAATTTTCAGAACTTAGAAATTTCCTCTTCACATTGGAGGTGGAGCTTTGTTAGCTGGACTGTACAGTCTTTCAATATGAAAGAGTGCTTGCTGTTAGCACAGTGGTGCACAATGACGGGAGATGTGGGCCTAGAATCCTTAGTGCTGAAGACTCTGCTCGGGTGTCAGTCTTAGTAAGATCCCTCCAGTAGGAGGGGGATTCTACACCTCCTCTGTGCTCTCTGTGTGCCTCTACTTCCAGATTACAGGGAATCTCTTCCTGGAGACTGTAACCCTCTCAAGGGCGTGAGCACGTTTTATTCTCACCGTCTCCACTGCTAACACCTTGCTTTAAGCCATGATCACCATCATCTGTATTATCTCAAAAAACCTCCAAACTGGTCTCCCTCATTCCATCCCTCCTCTCACATTCCCCCCAAGTATAATCTCCACACAGCAACCAGTGAGCCTGTGGCAGTGTGAACCGGTTTGCTGCCCCTCTGCTCAAACCTTTCTAGTTGCTTCCTTCCTCATTCTGAATAAAAGCCAAAGTGCTTGGTGTGACCTACAAGGCCCCACATGATTTTCTCTCTCCCGAGCCCTCCACTCCCACCCCTATGACTCTATTCTGGCCAAACTGGCCTTCACGCAGTCCCTCAAGCATGCCAGCCATTCGACTGCCTCAGGACTTTGCACCTTCGTTCCTCTGCCTGGAATGCTCTTACCTATGTGGCTTCCTTACTTCCTTTAGGTCTCTATTCTCACATCACATCATTTTCTCACCCAAATTTCTTACCTACCTAAAATTTCAATCCCTCAACCCACTACCACCTAGACATTCCCTAGTCCTCTACCTACCTTGGTTTTCACCTTAGGATTTATCGTCTCTGAACATGTATATTTTACTTACACATTTACTGTAATTTTCCTTATTAGGAAGTAAGCTTTATGAGGGAAAGGATTTTCCTCTGTCGTGTTCAGTATCATTTCCCCAGTACATGGAAGAATGCCTTTGCATGTAGAAAGTGCTCAACAAATATTTGCAGAATGAATGAACTAATCCTTTAATTTCTGGCCCCTGGTACAAAGTTGATACTCAATCAATGCCTGTTGACCTGAACTAAACTAAGTTTTGCTAAATATACAGTATTCCTCATCAGCAAGTATAGCAAGTATACTACTCCTGTCTAACTCACCAGGTTGTATATGAAAACACTCAGAAAAGCCATGAGAGTGTAAAGGGATGTGCTTTTTAAAACTTATTTATTTTGGTTCAGTGATTAGGACTGACTCACTCCAAAATGCATCAGTTGCAATGACCTTGGCATTTATTTTACAGTGTAAAGCTCCTTAACCCCCATCTTTTCTACTTTTTGGGAGTCTTTTTTGGGTGCCAATATAGATGTGAATCATAAAACACTACATCGAGAAAAGGTGCAGATGCATTATCAAAGGAAGTAATTAAAAAAAAAGGTGTAGAAATACAGTATTTCCATATGGCTGCTTATTTACATATACATATATATACATCCATGATGGAAAAATCCTTCAAGAAATGCTAACTATTGATCAGTAACTGTTTTTAATCAAAACCCATAAGGATATCCTCTAAATTTGTGGTCCCCAACCGCCAGGCCGAGAACTGATACTGGACTGCGGCCAGGCCACATAGCAGAAGGTGAGCGGCTGCAAGCTAGCAAAGCTTCATCTGTATTTACAGCCACTCCCCATTGCTCTCATCACCACCTGAGCTCTGCCTCCAGTCAGATCAGCGGTGGCATTGGTTGCAGAAAACCAAGCTCAGGGCTCCCGCTGATTTTGCATTATGGTGAGTTGTAAAACTATTTCATTATATATTATAATGTAATAATAGTAGAAATAAAGTGCACAATAAATGTAATGTTGTTGAATCATCCCGAAACCATCCCTGCCCGCCTCCACCATTCCGTGGAAAAATTGTCTTCCATGAAACTGGTCCCTGGTGCCAAAGAGGTTGAGGACTGCTGCAAATGACTTCACCAACATTGTCCACACCAAGGGGTAAAATATTTTCTGGACAAGATCCACTATCCAATATCCACTATCTCAGTTTTCCTTCTCATCCTGGTCATAATGAAACACAGCCATGGCCCCTACAAGTCACCCACTTGAACATCATCAGAATTTTATTTTGGAAAAAATTTTGCTTATTTACTATTAAATACCTCGTTTTGTTCTGCAGCATGGCCCATGTGAACTCTTCTTTGAAGTTAACAATTTAAAAAATTTCTCAAATGTGAAAAATAGACAATACATCCATATTTCATCATTTTGGTGCATCCCAAGTCACCTACCAGGCATGATAATATTAGAAAATCCCAACTTCCTTGTTATGGATACTCCATGAGAAAATACTGATGAGTATTCTCTTCTGATTTGTTCAATGTCTCCGTGTAACAGCTGTAGAGAAACTGCTAAACCTAAAACAAAAGAGAGATACTCAAGTTAAAAACAGAAGAATAGAAATAGCATAAATGAAACCAAAGTGCTTCAACAAGCCCATGTTTATAGTATCATTGTTCTAAAACTAAGGGTTAACATTCAGACAAAAAATTCAATAGAATCTATAGGAATAATTATCTGGATAACACTTTTCGACTTAACACTTCAATGTTCCCATTTATTAGGAGGTTCATAGCAACTAGAGAAAACTTGAGCAGGACACTAAGGAGAGGTAGCCTGGCTTCCAGCCCCCAAACCCTGCCCTATGGCCCCCATCAAGTAGAGCACATCCCAGCACCAACATTCATTCCATCAATAGGTGAAGGCTCCGAGGCCCTAAAAGATATTGATATCAAAACTGGAGTTTTTTCTAACTCCATAAAGCCTATGAATAATTACTTATCAAATATCAAAAGCATAAACAGAAATCTGAAGACATAATAATTTAAACTTTGAGAATATCAATAGAGATGTTCTTGAAATACAAGTAACAAAGGGGATTCTAATGAAGCCAAGATTATATTCATAATATGTACAGTAGAAACTCATGATGGCATTATTTTCTACTAAGGAGAATCTAGCAGGTTGCAGGACACTTTTACAAACAAAAGGGAATTTATTCAGTAAAACAGGAAAATTATCTTTTTTTTAATCTCAATTATAGTGACATTACCACAGTGGGATATATAGAAGATGTTTGACACTTTTTTTCACACATTATTTTCCCAATACTCAGGCAAAAACTACAAAAAGGAAATTAATGCCATATCTTTGTGAATATGTTCATATGTATATTTCAAAGATGCTACTTCCCTTTTAGTGTTTTCATTTCTTCTTCCTTTCTTCTTCTATTGTTTTAAAAGAAAAAAGACAAAAAAGTCCCTGACCTATATCAGTGGCAGAAAATGAAACCACTCAAAAGCAACTTATTCTAAAACACTATCAGTTATCATTAACCCAAACGCAATTTAAAGATGAATTTGGATGGCAGAGTCCAGAAGATGACAAGTCTGTTCCTCAGAGATCTCAAACTGTATCATCGCTTAACCACCCCCTTTCCCTCAATAAAGCAGAGATCACGTGTGAGTCGTCACTCCCATTCATAATTTACAGCATTACAATGCTGTCTGGAAACAAAGGCGTAAGAATGACAGCAACCACACCGCAATGAAAAAGAAATGCAAAACTTACTTTGCCACACATCTAAATGAGGAGCTTCCTTTTTACTCTCCTTCAATATCAGAGCAAAGAAACGATAACAACAAAAGCAATGTTTTGTTGGATTATTTGCTTGCTTTTCAGTAGAGTGGTTAAAACATCAGGACAATTTGTCAAAAAAAAAAGCTGTAGGCTCAGAGAGAAACTGGAGCCTCTCCTGAGGTTCAAATCTGGCTAGACGAAGCACGCTGAGGGACGGTAAACATAGAAAAAACCAGAAAAGGAGGACAGGGTACACGATTGTGTCCTCACACCTTCTAGCATGTGCATCTAACAGAATGTCTCAGAGAGTTATTCTGAGAATGATACGAAGTCTGGCAGGTTCTCAGAACTTGAAATCTGCATCCCATTTCTACCTAACTACCCCAATCTCCTCCACCACCCTCACTCCATCCACTTTGGGTTGGGTGACTGATGGCAATAGAAAGGAGAGGTGTCTGTCCTTCCATGGCCACATGAAATGAAATAGGGGAGAATAAGCTGTCTGGATGATCTGATGGAGACAATTAACAGTGTAGCTTTCAGACTCTTCATGTAGTACTATTGGTTTCTTTTAATACCCAGAGGCAAGAGAATTAAGACAGATTAATATGTGTTCTAATGCATCTTTCCCAGCAGTTATTTCTTCCTGACTCATGCTTTCCCACTATCCCCATCTCATCACTGATGTCTCTGTTCTCCTCCCACTTCTGTCCTTTTGCCTTCAAAATACTCACCCACACCATCACCATCATCATTAGCAAAATCAAGCAGCTGGTATTTGTAGAATACCAGTGTGTGCCAGACACTGTACATAATAGTATCTTCCTGCTGGTGTATACCACATAAGCAAATCCAGGTGTATACCATATAAGCAATGCTTTCCAAGAGAGAGTAAGACGGGTTTAACAAAATTCTTAAGATCCTGTGATGTTTGCAAGTGAAGACCATTTTACTGGGACTTCTCCTTGAAGGATCTCATCAGAGACACTAGCTACATTATGTGGTATGTACAAAGGAAAAAGAGAAAAGAACTCACTGTAATGAAAAAAACCAAAGAGACCATGCTATTCAGGGTAGGGGGTTGGAGATAGGAACATTGACCAGGATTCTTGTTTTGTCCTAGGAGCCAACATTCATTTAATCAGCAGTGACTTTTTTTTTTTAACATAAGCTGAATACTGTAATTTACAGAGGATAAGATAATGAGAAAAGAAAAAAACAAACAACAACAACAACAATAAAAACCAGTTGGTCAGAGACAACATGAATCCCAAAGAAAATTAAAGAAGATAGGAAAGAAAGAAAAAATATGTTTTAGGGAAAGACACAGAAGGAGGGAGAGTAATAATGAACAGAGAAATACATCAGTATTCTGTAGACAACAAGAGCCACAGAAATGAGAAGAGTGCAAAGGACAGAGAGGACCCATTTAGGAGACAGCCGAGAGGGGCTGGCTGTGGACAGGGGAAGGGAATGGAGGAGCGACGGGAAAAACAGACAAAACAGTGTGGGGGAAAGGAAAAGTAGGCATTTGGGAGTTGGATACATACTAAAATTTTTGATAGATATGGTAGTTTTCAACCTGAATGAAGGTTTAGAGAAATATAGATTAGAGCCCTAAGCGTAATTATTACATTTGTCTAGCTACATGGTAATAATTTGAGGGTGGGGATGACTCAGTTTCTCCAGAATGAAGAAGCCACAGTCAAGAACTGGAAAGGTCAACTGGACGGAGGGCTTCACCACATGCATGTATGTGGTTTTGCCCAAATCATCAATTCTTTCCATAAAGAAACCACAATATTTAGCTAAGCAACATCAACGAATGGGTGTACTTTCAA